ATAATAATTAACAGAAGATTTTAATAATACAGATTTGTACGACAATCGCAATGACGCATAGGTTCTCAGAAATGTTGAGATGAAAAATCTGAATCACGGTCAACGCATTGCCCAGCAGATTTCGGTGTGTTTAAGTGTTTCCATTGGTACACACTTCAAATTATATTTTTAATTTTTAGCCATTATGGATCAAATCAGATATAACCATTATACGTATGTATTTATACATTCGAATACATTTTTAGAATTTTTAAATTTTGAGTAGATATTTAAATATATGTTGTATTTGTAAAGGTAAGAACGCTTATAATTAGGTAAGTGCTTAGATGGGTAAATAAAATAAATTTGTTTGTGGAAAAACGATTGCAGAGTAAATATTATTAATACATTTATCAATACTCAATACCATGTCTGAAAAAAAATTAATATAATTTCATTATATTATACTATAACCTAGTAGCTAGTATTCTAGTGAAGGGCACTAACTACTAGAAGAACAAAACTGCTTATTGGAGTTTTTTAATAGTTTCATTTACTTAGGTACTCCGAAATACTGACGATGGATTCAGTAAACACAATCTTAACTATGTAAATAATAAGACAGACTATATATTATTATATACACTAAAATATAGTACCTATTAACAGTATACATTGAAAGGTAATGTTCAGTAGTTCTATATTTTTAGTATTTAGTAATAAAGAAAGTAGAAACTATATGGTAATAAAGTGTTATAACATCAATAGTTTTGTTTGTTTCGATATTAGTACACACATGTTATAAAATATAAATAATATTATATTGTTGTATTAAGCTTAAGTCTCAGCAACTATACCTATTTAATATTGAGTAAAATTAAAATAAATGTAAATATTTTATTTCAATTTTATTGACCACATGTGTAAGATTATAATAATATCCAAATACCTAATGCTATCCAAAATCCAAAGAAATAAGAGAAGTTATAACAGATATCGTTTATTTTTTAATAGTCCACTACAGACGATCACCGTTCAATAAATCATTACTATTAAAGGGGCTCGCTATGACTTCTATATTGTAAGAGGAACAAAATATATGAACAATAAGCAATTTCTAATCTCATTATCGACCCCGAGATCTGTGTTAGGTCAGGCAGTGGTTCGATGTGGGTACCAATAAAAACAACTCTAGCAAGCACATGTTAATATCTTCTTAACAATATAAAATTCAATATACAAATTGAACGGCAACTTACTAAATCGTCCCCGTTCATGCAAAACACACCAAGTCCAAAAACATGATTTTTGAGTATGAGCTTTTGCAATTTTTCCAATCTATAATTCCATATTCTGCGTATTAAGGAAAACATCGAATGGACTTAGTTAACATTTTGAATTGTATATTAAACATCTTTAAATAATATTGGGACTTAGTTGAATACAGCATATTGTAGATATTTTTCAACTGAATTTTATATGACAATAAACCGGAAAACCCGATATTTGGACTCAGTGTGTTTTGCATGAACGGGGACGAAATGTTTTGACCAAATAGAGTTAATTAACAATGTCTGATTACAATTCTAAAAATTGTTTGAATTCATCAGAGAAATTTCATTGAATTGTACTTTCCGTTATTTATTTTTAGTATAATTACAATTTATTACAATTCGATAAAATCCATATTTTCAAATTTCGATCAAATTAACAGTAGTAACGAGGCCCCTTACTATTATATAATATAAATTCATACAAATTGAAGACGTATACAATATTCTATACAATGTTTACATTCAAAGTTTTAAAATATTGTTTCAATTTTAAGAGGACACCATGCACAATTTTTCTCTCAATCTTCAAGCAGGTAACACAGAAAATTAACATTTAGCAGTTTACTTCTGTTAATATTTTAATATTAGAGAGAAATTACAAACTATCGAATTTCAAAATAATAACATAATTTTTGATCTATTTTCGGTTTTGGTGTCGTCTTAAGATCTATTAGTAACTTATTTACATCTCCTTGAATATTATTAAGTTTTATTAATACAGGTAGATATAATTTAACAGCTCGGAATTTTACCACCAGAACAATTTTACTTTCAGTGATGTTTTTGTGTTAACACTTTGCAGTAAGCATATGATATAAAATTATTAATTACTTTACACACACAAATATATAATATTACATATATACTTGAAAATGGACTTACTTAAATTAATTCAAACACCTTTGCACTCTTTTAACAAAATACTTGTTTATTTTAGTGAGTATTATATTATTATTAATTCAAATTAGATTAAATAATTAATATACTTCAACATTATATTGTTACTCATTTTCATATTTTATGAATAACCATTACCTAATTAAAATACCTAATTGAAATATTAAAATAAATAAATACGAACAAAAAATTATAACTAATAAATACATACACAATGTATATATATTTATTTAAATTAAAAAAATACTCGTGTCAAATTATTAAAATTATCTATGTACAATATTATTAAAATGATAAAATAACTTTATGATCATATGAAATTTTAATTATGAAAAATATAATAAAACTACACTACTATAATATTATTATATAAATTATAAGACAATGTTTTTTTCTCGTTAAAATTTAAGAAAAGAAATTAATCCATAAATCAGTCGAATGCATCTGTAAAATTCAGAAACAAATACAAACAGCTCGTCAAACCAAATCTTCGATGCCAGGAGGAACATTATTGTACAGATTCAGGTTCCGTTGAATCTGATTTATGTTTTTTAGACTCGACACCTTCTGAATCATCCTCTTCGTCATCTGAACGAGAACGCTTTGGATTTGGGTTTAACTTAACAATGATACACGTCATATTGTCACAGCCAGTGCCATCACTCAATGTATTAGGTGCCAAACATTTTTCAAATAGCTACAAAAAATTAATTCAACACTATAATGAAAAAATCAAGTACATTATATTATTATATTAATATCTGCATACTTCTTCGCAAATCGACGATAAACTGACATCTGGTTTGTTGATACGTTCCAAAACAAAATCAACAACTTCCTGGCTGCTTAATGAATTCCAAATACCATCACAAGCCAACACTATGAAATTGTTATTATCTGGTGTTACATCCAAAACAGTTACATCGGGAAGAGCTGTTATCATCTGTTCAGTATTTGGAAGATCTGTATTTTTTTTGTAATTATGATCACCTAAAAAAAAAATTGTATTTAGTCATAAAATTCTTTCTTTTTTTTTTTTAGCAACATCTAAGGACAATAATAGAAATTATTACCCAGAGCTCTAGAAAGATTTAAGCCTCCATTCACTCGTCCGTCGCTTGAAACCCTGCCACCAGCATTACAAATCCTCTTTAACTCTGGTTCATCTTCAGGTTTATGATCTTTTGACATATCATGAGCTTTACCATCAACAGAAACGACACACCTCGAATCTCCAGCGTTAGCGACGTAAAGTTTATTGTTTACTAATAAAGCCATTACTGCTGTACAACCACTATCTTTTCCTGGCTAAAATAAAGAAGATTACAAATGTATTATTATTAATATACAAGCAAAGTAATATTTTGAATATCCCAAAATACCTTGCTCTCTAACTATGATTTTTTTACAGTTAGAAAATATTTTTTAGGGTGTTTTAATTAATAACTAGAAGATAATTGTATAAAAAAAAAAAAGTGCCTATGTGTGTCGCTCTGGTATACAGTAGGTTACAGGTGGGGACTGTGGATGGTGTTAAATTTGAATTCAATGATATAATTGTATGATCGTTGTATATGAAAAACGATTCTGAACGGAGACTGTTTGTCAGCCTAGGATATTTTATATTAATATTATTTGCATATTATCATATTTCAAAATATGTATATTATATTAATAATTAATATACTTTAGAAGTATCCACGAACAATATTTTAAACATAATGCATAACTAAAATCATTCTTCTTCTTTAAATATCTAATTTAATAAACATAATATGGTGTAAATTTAAAGTATTTAGTTATTCGTTTTTGAATTACAACAAAATAAGATAATCGCTACACGAGAAATCGAGTGAGTATCCAATGTTGTAAAAATATAAACTTCAAACAAATATCACTTCAATCTCATAAAAATTTAACTTTTATTTCTATAAAGGTAGACAAACTTATGAGGAATCTTGTATTACATATTTTATAGATTTCTTACTCAACATAATATTCACATATTTTGTCAAGACTAACTTTAAATGTTTAAAAAAAAAATTTGAATGTATATTTTTCAACAACCATCTTACAATTCTATTTGGAACCTCGTATTAAATTTGTAAGCTCTAGGACCCAACAAATATAATTTTAGTATATAAAAAAATAACCTAAAAAAATTGGAAACTGAAAATGTCTGTTAACAGTTTTAAACAAATCAAAATATTTTGAAAATATTATGATGTATAGAAAATGCCAATATAAGCGTTTAGTGAAAATTTCATGGATCTACAGTTATTTATTATAGAGTTATACCAAAAACTAAAATCAATTTAGCATAAAAATCAAATCATTATTTCAACTACTTAACTAAAAAATTTAAAAAAACATTTTGTAAAATCAATATTGAATTGAAGCATTATATGTAAGTTAATTCTTAATTTACATAGAAATAAACAATCTTACTAAATATAATAATAAATAAATAAAAAAAATTGATCGATCTGATCCAATACTTGTTCTATGTTAAAAGGAAATGCTAATCAAAACATTTTGGAATCATTAGTATAGAAAAATAACTATTCAAAACAAAGAAGAAACATGCCTCTTTTAAAAATGTATTCAATATTCAATATAAAGTCATTATTCATTACCTTATCCTCATCATCGTCATCTTCATATATATAAGTAGACGGTGTATCATCGTCATCGCTATCTGAATCATCAGAGTCATCACTAAAAATAAAATAAATGTATTATAAACATTTTATCAATCTGTATTTTGAACACAGGAAAGTTGTCAAGCATTGATGAGTAGTTTAAATTTGTTACAACTAGTGCATAAGGCAACGAGAAACCATGATATTATTATTATTTTAATTGGATATTTATCAATTATATAAGGTTCTATTAAGTACTTTTTAAGAGGACGTCACAACCGCATGTGTAGTCTGTCTTAGAAATGTACAACATAGCAAAAACTGTTTTGTGAGAGACAATTTTACTCCCTCTGTACCTATTTATAGTAGAATTACCAAAATTCCACAACGTTTAGGGGAGAACTTTATCTGTAAAAATGATTATTATATTTATCTTATCATAAAAATGAAAACACTACGACACACATTAAATTCTTCAGTGTTGTAGAATTTTGATATTTCTACTACAAATACAGAGGGAGTAAAGTTGTTCAGCACAAAAACAATTTTTTCAATGTTGTACATTAGTAAGACGGAGACAACACATGTGGGAGTGGTGTCCTCTCAATGAATTGTAAAAATATTATATTATTTAACAGTACATAGTAGGATCTTAATATATTCAAATATGTTATTTAAATAAATTCTAATGTCCGTATACAAAGTCAACTTATGTGATACATAAATTGACTATGCTTATGGGCAATAGACTAGTAGGACTTATGGCAATTAAATAAAATAAAGCAATGATGTGTACAATTACAGGAACTGTATCACTTGTCTCTATACTCCGCGCCACGAGAGAAGAAAACCATTTCACACATGCAGACTGAGGGCAGCGACTGTTACGAGGCCCCGTTTCCCCCCACTTTACAATATGATACACACAATATAACATTGCCGATCGTTAACGGTCGTGATCGTGCAATGTTGACATGTCAAATAGGTGGGGGATGCGCTGATTAAAAAGTGATTTGGTCGGGACACGGGTTCCTTCCCTCTTGGCGCAGATATATGTAAATTTGCAGTTACTACTAATACACTCAAAATGTAAATTGTTCATAATATTGACATCTTAAAAAACAGGTTCAGGTAAAAGATTGATAATAATAACTCTTACTCTAACTTCATTGAGCCTTCAAACTCTTCTCCTTCTTCATCAGTGTCGTCTTCTGAATCCTCAAGAATTAAACATGCAGTTCCAGAACTATTTTCTGTGCCATTTTGTCCATTACTACTGCTGGGGCCGCATTCTGCTTCACTACTTTCAGCAACAAGTTCTTCAGTTTTGTCGTCATCATCATTATCATCATCATTTGGTGTGCCATTGACTTTAGCACTTGGTGAACTTTCAACTGTTGGATCTTTAGGTTTACATTCATCAATTCCATTACCAACATTTTTTTCATCGTCATCTATAACACCAATTTCAACGGTTAATATTGATATATTTAAAAAAAATAAGATAAACTCAAATTAATAGGTATGTACCTGTAACTGTTTTGCTACTACCGCTGCTACCAGAACCACAGGCGTCATTTGATTCAACTAAATAAAATAAAAGTAATATAATAACACATTTTCTCTAAAAACAATTGTTATCTAACACACCGATAGATTTAGGTTTTGATATAGGAGATTCTTTAGAAGAACTAGGTTCGTCTTCACTTTCTTTGCTATCTGCACTTTCTTCGCTTTGATCAAAATGTTTAAATATTTTATTTTTATACTTCATTATTATGTCTTCAATTGGCATTTTAGCTTCTTCATAAAGTTCAGTGAGTTCTTCTTTTTCTTCTTCTTCATCAGCTAAAAAAATTTTTATATCACCTTATTATCTTTTTACATACATTTAATGGTACAAAACATATTCATTAAAGTAAATCATAGGTATCAGGTATCTAGACATTGGGTTTTTGTTTTATTTTATTTTTAAGTATGTAATTATTATTAACTCATTGATGACACTTTATCAACCACCCTAAACTCATTATTATGGTTTGTTTTTAATTTACAGTTTCTTTATTTCTTGAGTGATATACCTAATCCGAACATGAGTATCAACAATATTATCATGTCCGTTTCAATGCCTCCCCAACCTTAATACTTACGCCTCACTTCTACATAAACGTAACTATAAACTGGTACCTACATTTAAAATTAATTATAGTATTGTACTTTTAGGAATGTCACATATAAAAGATAGATAAACTTTAGCATTAATTAGTCCTTCATATTATCACAATTAAAAAAAAATAGCTTAAAATTAGTTTTAAAATATTTTAAAGATTTAATTTTGTATAGAAAATAATGAAATAAGTCACAACGATGAATATTTTTTGATTTACAATAAAGAAACTAAATATTGATTGAGGAAAAATCGTTGTTTGTCGATTGAATATTTAATTTTGTCAAAATACAACTTCAAATCTCTATAAAAAAAAAATAATGCCAATATATTTTTTTATTTACTGTAGGAACAAATTATGAGGAACATAATAGTGCCATATCAAATTGCTTTGATACAAAAACACAAAGATCAAGACGTCACTAACAAAGATCAAACAAGTTCAAAAAATATTAAGTATGTGAAAAAAAAGGTAATAAGTAATACTAAGTCAAGCCTTTAAATCTCAACTGTTGCTTTTGAAATTTTAAAATTTTAAAAAAATAAATCATGTTGAAAACTAGTGTTAGTATTCCCTATTTCATTCTTTATTAATGTTATGGGGACCTTTTCACAAGGAGGGAGGGAATTTTAATGATAAACATCCTCTGGAACCTTATTTTTATTTAATCGAAATTAATCAAAATTTAAAGACAATACATGATTGAAGATTAAAAAAAAAAGTCATTAGGTAAGAAGTGGTGCTAAATTTTTTTGTTTATATATTTTAACCTCTTCATTTATAATTTATGAACATGTCACTACAGGGTTAAGTGTATGGTGTAATATATATTGTATATAAAACAATAATAGAGTAAATTTTTAATTCAAATATACCTCATTAGTACTACTACAAATATTCTAATTTTGTTTTAAATAACAATACATTTTGACCTAAAATTCTGTGTTGTTTTCAAATAAAAATTCTACAAAACTAATTTACTTAGGTATGAACTACCTACTACCCGTTATAAACCTACCAATTTCTTCATTAATATCTTCTCGGAGAGCAATCAAATGTTCGACAACGGGTGACTCAATAAGACTGTCGTCAAAGTCCATGAAAGCCTTTATCAAGGCATTTTCGTAGTCTTGGCTATCATACAGTGTGTTTTTAACCAAAGAAGGCAACTTTTCAGCTGCATACTGGGCAACCTCGGCACCACCGTGTCCATCGTACACGGCAAACAGAGCGACCCTCTTGTCAAAGTCCAACAAACAGTTGTGCGCGTCCTATAAAAATAAAAATCCATACAGATACATGATATACACATAAACACCACAGATCCGATCAAACACGAGACGGGTAGTTTCGGCGTCCGTGGCGTTCACATAACGTGGCCGAGGAACCCCATACAGCAGGAGGGAAGAGGGGCATCCACACTCCCCCCTCCCACCATATCACCCAAAGATGATTTTAATGCCTCTCAGTATATAAAGGTATTGAAATATGAAATTCCCTCGGACAGGGTTGGTTTGGCACGCTAGGTGCTGCAAGTCTCGGGATTCCCGACCGTTGAAAAATCCCATGGGTTTACCTCTTGGGACTCGCGCCATCCCTGCATGGAACTGGAACCGCAAGACAACCACCCGTTGGCCGAGTCTTCGGATTCCTTGTCGGTGATCGGTTTGCTCAGATACGTGCCCATCTCTCTGTAATTATATGAACCGTGTGTTGTTCGAGTAGCGGAGTGTCTGCGGCGGTGTTTTACGTCGATTACGGTTCGCTGTGGCCGGAACGGATGTCGTCGTCTTGTCGTCTGTCGGCGGCGGCGGTCGGTCGGTCTGCAGACTCGAGGCGGCGTAATTCGCGGTTAACCGGTTAACGGTGCGATTCGGCGACCCGGACGGACGACGTGCTGCTCAGTACCGCGGTAAGTCTGTAATGAACGCCATACCAATTTAACGATGCGAAAAAACCCGACGGACGCGGACGCGGATTGGGTGGCGCGGGCGGCGGCGAAAAATGTTTTACGATAAATCGCGCGCGTTCGGTCGGTGTTACCAACCGTCGGCGCCCGGTACGAATTTAAATACAAAGAGATTCGCGTTCGCGGGCCGCCCGTCCACCCCCCCCCCCCCCCCGACCCGACCAGTAATCTGAATATCAGACGACGCAACCGCCTGGGAATGCCGCGCGAGGCGATGACCGGACGCGCGGCAATGCCGACGCGTCGTCGTCTAACCTAACCGTTCCCCGGCGGCCATCTCTTTGTTAATTTCCGATCGAAATCCTTCCCGCTAGTTTTCCGCGTTCTCGGAGGCCGGCTCATCCGGTCGGAAATCCAAACATCACGACGTATCGTCATCACAATGAAATCGATCGTGTTCCCTCAGACTTCACATAATATAAATAATATAATATTATCGGTCATCACAGAATTATATATTATAATGATTATTATATTATTTTGTTCGAAGTCACGACCGGAAGACCTGATTCATATTCGCTTAATAGGTAAATTTATGAATCGGTTTGAAGTTTCGTGGCTCACTTCGTTCGTTGTTCATCCAACTTTCCAAGACGGAATAATTCATGAGTCATTTTACAAATTTCTGATCGTATCATTAATCATTGTTTTGGCTTTTTGAATAAGTATAATATATTTTGAGATACTATTTACTATTGGTCATGTTGCGAATTGTTTGTTTATGAATTCTTGAATCACGTCTTCCGTCCATAAACCTGTAGGCTATAAACCAAGTTCATACCATGCTACTGAGAATTATTTTTTTAAAAAAAAAACCTAACTAATTCTCAAATGGCCAAGCTCTACTAAACACTAGTCATCAATTGCAATAGTTTATGTCAGCTTACCAAATACCCAAATGCATCCGAAATAATAAAATTCTTTTTGAAAGTATTGTATACCATCACTCGCCAGCATTGGCGCAACTAGGGGCAGGCTAGTTGGCTTAGCCCACCCATAAATATCCATTACTGATGTAAGCCCCCTACGGGTTATTTTAAATAAATAGTTTTGTTAGCCCCCCAGAATTTAAACCCCAGTTGCGCCCATGCAGTCACAAGCCTATTTAAATTGAATTTTGATAAATTGTTAAGCTGATCGGCTTAACTATACAAGATTAAATTTTATCAATGAATATTATTGTATTAGGTAGGATTAGTAATTCAAGGAATTAACAGAAAACAACCATTGTGAAAATATAAATAGCTTATAATATTTAGCTGGAACAAAGCTTTAGCTAATTGTAGTTCTTATCTACAAAATGTAAGTAGTGTTTGTGTATTAAAAAAATATAAAAACAAAATCTAACTATTAACTAGTAATAATAATCATAACAAAATATCTATAGTAATATAGTAAACATTTAAAAAAAAAAATAGATTCTTCTACTTAAATTTAAATAAAATTGAGTTATCATATACAATTACAAAATGACTCCAAATTCTTTGTTTAACATTTAATAATTCAGAATTTAATATCCATAAATAATAATTAAAAATAAACAAAAAATAAGTAATATAGGAATGATTGGATTGATAGTTTAATTTAAGTAGAAAGTATAATTTGATATATCTTGCCCAATATAGTTGTATAAAAAAAACTAGATAATATTAATTAATGGATGACCTTTCCATGCACAGATAAATCATAAATTAAAATGAAACTGTGTTAAGTAAATAATAAACTTTAAATATGACTTCAACAGATGAGTAGGTTTCTTGTTTGTTCTTAAATTGTAGAATGATCCATTATGTTTTTGATCAATGATGGCGCAATCCTAAAATTAAATATTAATTAAGCCATTATTTTTAAGCATTATTATTTTTTTTACAACATACGATATGATATAATATAATCTATACATAATGAACTATTAAATTATGAAGTCTGACGTCTATTAATTTATTAGATTTTAAATCCAGCCTGTGTGGAATAGTTTGAGTGTAGACAATATAGGTAATTAAGTGAGAATTACAGGTGATGGTGGACTGAGATATTTAAAGAATTAATCAAAGCAAGAAAATGTATGGGTAATTAAAAAGAATGTGTGGGTTGTTGCAAGTAGCTGGGCAAGTAGTTATGGCAAGTACAGAGGGGATGCGGGCTAAATATGTAGAAATTTTTATTTTTAAAGGAATTATCACACAACTTAATTTATATTATTAGTGACTAACAACCACAAAATATTTAATAATATTACAAAACAAGCTATATAACAGTCCATGTAAAACATGTTGATCAAGTACGTATTTTTAACGTAAATAATAACTTCTAATAAATAGAAACGACTCATATAATGGTCAAGCAGTCCACATGTTGAACACAAAGTTAGGATTTTTTTTAAACCACTAATAACAATTATAAAACATACTTTTTGATCATGTGTTCATAAATTGACACTGGAATGATTGTAATATTAATTGAATCCGAGGCTTTAGCAATAATGTCAACTATTTGTTTGTCCTTCATTCCAATAATATTTTGTCCATTGACTTCCAATAACTGATGATCCGTGAGCACTCCATTACGAGCAGCTGATGAGTCTTTAACAATATTGTTAATCTTACCATTTTTGAACTGAAATCCAACTTGACCAGCACGGTCTTTGTACAGATTTATTGTACGTTCCAAAGGCCTTAATACAAAAAATATTAGTTAATATAATTAATATAAATTCTTTAAACTTTATCCATTTTACCTGTCTCTTACAATAACACTTATGTTATTTACTGAACATTCTCTGAAGATTTTGTTCACTTTATCAACACTCATTCCCGCGACAAAAACTTCATTAATTTGTAATATTTGATCACCGAATCTTAAACCTGCCTTAGCAGCAGGACTGTCTTGAATAACAACGCTAACAAATATGCCATTGTTGAATGAAGACATTTTCAATCCAATTTGTCCTTTTCCATCTTTACATAACACCAACTAAAGTACAGAATACATTTTAGCTTTAAGAACTCTACAAACACAGAAAATTAAAAATCAATTATTTACCTTACGAACACCATTTGTCACTTGTGCTGGAATGTCGTGGAAAGGAATCGCTACGACATTATTTTTCGATTCAATTTTCTTGGAAGGAGTATCTATGCCGTTATTCTGTGCTAGAATACTGAGCTCCAATCCCAAATAATCATTGAGTATTGGGTACATGGCACCTAGTGATTCTTGATCCATGCCCGACGGATGCGGTGGACAAATAGCCATAAACGGAGGCGGATTCTCATTTTGTTGGACAATTTGATTTTGTGTCTGCCAACCAAAAACATAATTAGGTAAGTATGTGTCGACAAACAAAATACAGTTCAATCCAAACAATCAATTCTAAAAATGACATTATGCATTACAGGCACTGTTAACGGTCAACTGTTGAAATAAAATTCCGTCACGTATGAACAGTTCGCGAATTTATTCACAAAGTGAACATAGTGCGACGCATACGAATACGACGTACCTTAATGAATTCGTCCAATTTTAAATCTTCCAAAGAAGGGTACAGCGACATGACGTTGGTTTGGCTTTACAGAGCAAATTACAAAAGAGTATCTCGAAGATTGGAAAACAATGTTCCGGTAAGACTGAATGCGAACAATTCGGACGACCAAGTGGCAAATACCTACAAATGTTTACTGCACTCTGTATAACTGTACTTTATTGTCTGTGTTAACTGTGCTCTGTAGTCAGCGAAAATGTTCCATAGTGGTGCTACTATGTCGGCAATCGGTATGACTCATTTATTATTGTTTTTTTTTTTGCCCCTTATCTTTCTTGTGCACTCAGCTGTTAATTATTTCCCGCAAGACAGGTGGTGGGGAAACGGGAAAAACACTATCACAGTATCGCACGCACGAGTGACAAACAAAAAGTAAAGTCGATGAAATACATTTTTTATTTATTGATTATTATTATATTTTAAATTCAAAATGGTAGGCGGAAAAAAAGCCCACGGAAAAAAAGCCCAAGGAAAAAAAGCCCAAAAATATAAATATAAATGTGAACAAAATATAATAATATATTAATAATACATTAGTATACTATAACAGATAATAATCATAAATAATTGTATAAGAGGCATATATAGGTAATTTTATAAAAGAAAATATTAAAATTTCAAATATGACTTATACATAATATATAACTAAATGTTATTACAAGTTTGGTAATGGATGCATATTATATATATTTTATCAGTGGCGTATATAAGGGGAAGGCCCCCTAGGCCAGAGCCCATAGTGAAATTGTAGGTTCATGCATTTCATGTATATCTACACTGTTTAGAGTTTTTCACCATGATTAAGTTAGCCGGTTGATTAAAATCGTTTTTGAGGAATCAACAAGGAAATATTAGATTGTCAGGACTTGCTTTGATGACTTATAATTGACTATTTGATGTTAAATTCATAGTAAGACAACATTAAAATATATAAATGACACTGTCAATATTTTTTAAAAAAGAATCAGAAAATTAATTTTACATAATAATTAAATTGCGCAATTTTCATTTGTAATGTATCTGTATGTCATAATTATAACCACCCAGCTCCTTAAAAAATGAATAGTTATGACTTATGGCTATGTTAGTCGTGCTTTGCCTGACTAGTGATATCTGATAAATTGGCCCATAGTGAAAATAATTTGTATATACGCCACTGTATTTTATAATATTAATAATTTGAGGAAAGTGTGTTAAATAAGTCACAATAGACTATAGAGTATAAAATATCGGGTTAAATAGGTAATAAATGGTAATATCCATTAGGTAGATGATATTATGATATACATAATATGTATATATTATAATATATATAAATATATTATATATTTATATTATGATGTAGATGATGAATTATCGCTCGCGTATCTTTGTTTAAACCATTCTCGGTCAAAATAAACTAAACTAACATTTCTAAATTTTTATTACCACTGGAATCAGGGTAGTGCTCGGAAAATGTATGTGGGGGAGGGAGGGGGGGGTCAAGTAAAATTGAAGGAGCTAGTCTTTTACCTGACGACCATTTTTTTTTTGTAATCAACAACAAATTCAATAAACAGGACAGACACAAAACACGCAATTTATAGAAGAAAAAATCCTTCGATCTACAAATTCGAGAGTGGTGTACCTATTATTCATGGTTTTCGAATAGGTATTATATATTTATATAGGTAGTACTAACATTTTAATAACTATTTAAACAGATTTGGAGAACCATGATGCTGAAGGGAGGGTGCTATGTGAAACTTCTATAAATAATAAATGTCTTGTTCAGGAACTATTATACCTATAGATAATAGATTTAATTTATGAGCCATGCCAGGTCATCCATCGCTTAATTACGAAATAACGTTGTTTATGAGTAATAAACCATAGGCGCAAAATGCAAATTAACTAAATTTTTTGGGGGGACTCAAGCCCCCCTCCACAAAGGTCTTAATATAAGTAAAACAAATGTTGGAGGGAAACGCTCTCCATAAAATCCCCCACCCACTGAGCAACTATCGTTACGGATATATAAAAATACAAAGTATTACATTTTTAGAATATATTTATTTTAACAAAATTCTCCGTTCTTTTTCGGCAAATACATTTAAAATATCTTCTGTATTTATATTATTAGATAAATCCCTTATTCCAATAAATATTAAAATATAACCTAACAAGTAAGTAATAAACATATATCTTAGTCCGTGGACCGTGGTAACAAATAATAATTATTAATGATAACAAAATGCTCCGTTCAAAAATTGGCACGTAAACCGTCGATTGTGGAGGTCAACAGCAACCACGGCATTATTCTTTGGCTATAGATACTATAGCCATGATCGTGACACAGCCCTCATAGTTTATCACTAGGGCTTGGATTTAAATGCCCTAAAAATATCAAAAAAATGCCCTTTCAAAAAATGCATTTATGACCTAAAAACTCTAAAAAATGCCCTAAAAATATCAAAAAATGACGTTTCAAAAAATGCATTATTTATTAAATAAATTCAAATTTAATTATTATTAAAAAATGAGGAACAAAGTAAGTACCTTGGACGTAATACGCAACACGACTGAAAGCGTACGACAATCGGCCACACGCACCACCGATATAATATTATCGCTCGATAAGAAAATAATCCGATAATATCGGCTAATTGGATGGTGTGACATAAAGGTTGTAAAAACCGGAAAACCTGATGTTAAATTAGTTCAAATAGTTCAAAATGAAAATAATTTTTATTACGTAGTACTATATTACTATGTAGTACCTACTTATATTTCAATGAGGTCAATTTTTTTAGTCATAATACGACAAATAGGTCAAAAATGTCCTAAAAAATTAAAAAATGCATTTAAACCGTCAAAAAATGCTCTAAAAATGATGAATGAAAAAAAAACAAAAAAATGCCCCAAAAAATTATTATGGTTGGATTTTGAAGTACTTGAAACATATTTGTAGCTTGGAAAGCATCGCGTAAGATATCCCAAAAAAAAGATGCAAATGCATTGAAATCCGAGCCCTATTTATCACCTATAAATTACTTATCGGTTATCAATTATCTGTTTGACCACGAGGCACGGACTAAGATATGTTATAGTATTTTTTATAAAGATTTAAAAAAAAAACTAGCATAATAATAATTTTTTTTCAATAATTTGTATTTTGTAATTTGGTTAAGTTTTTAAAATATATACATGTTTAGTACTACAGAATATAATAATTAGTACTAATTACTAGATTTTGAACTGGGGGGACTTGACCGAAATCTGGGGGGACTAAGTCCCCCCAAGCCCCCCCCCTATTTACGCCAATGTAATAAACAATATTAATATAAGTATAATATTCTTTTCGATTCTGGCCACAACATCGGGCATTGCGTAGCAATGAAACGAAAAACACTAAACTGTACAGAACAAAATTAAAACCAATATTTACAAGTGGAATATAATTTCGTTTAGTATTTTGCGGACAATCAAATGCAAAATTTTCAAATTCGATTGTATTAGACGGACGACAGTAAAAACTGGGACGAGACAAAATGCACATCACGTCAACATATTATAGTGCCCGATCGCAGTTTTGTCAGGATTCTAAATATTTTAAATAATATATGTAATATGTATACAGGACACTCAAAAAGGAGATGATCAAACTTAAACCATACTTATGCACTATCTATTTGTGAGAACGTCTGGACGTCAGGTCGTATAGTTAGTTTAGTACTTACAGCCAGGCGTCAAGTGAAGTTTTGCTGGGATTTCCACTTTTGTACCTATATATGGCTATATATATATATAATATAATATGTATAGGGCACCTAATAAAGACATATGGCCAAGCGTTATACTATTATAGAATGAATATATTGTATTATTATGATAATTTAAGAACAACGTGACTTGAAGAATTTCAAATATTTGGTCGAATATTAGCTTTTTAGTGAACTGCAAAAACTTTTTATAGGTTCAACAGAGCAAGAGGGCCATACTTATAATGCACTATTAGTCAGGTCGTATATTATAGTTTGTTTTGTTTAGTACCTACCTTCTGATCGTAATTTAAAATGTTGTTATGAGGACTTTACTTTTATCTAAATAATATATTAGTATATGTACAGGAGACGCCCGTTATACAAATATATACAATGAAGATACTTAGATACATTATGATAATTTAAAAATAATGCGAATTGAAGCTTTAAATTTTAAATATTTGGTCGATGTTTGCTATAATTATTAATTACACTGGACGATATTAACGATATTAATTATAAAGACACTTTTTATAGGTTCACAGTGCAAGAGATATTCTTCGTGTCAACGCACCATACTTATAAATTATAATGCACTATTAGTCAGGTTGTATATAGTTTGTTTTGTTTATTACCTTCTGATCGTAATTTAAAGTTTTGTTATGAGGACTTTAATTGTATCTAAATAATATATTAGTTTATGTACAGGAGACGCCCGTTATACAAATATGAAAATACATTATGATAATTTCAAAATAATGTGACTTGAAGATTTAAATTTTAAATATTTGGTCTATGTTTGCTATAATTAGTAATTATACTGGACGCTCTGCTGACAATTTTTATAGGTTCACAGTGCAAGAGATATTCTTCGTGTCAACGCACCATACTTATAAATATTATAATGCACTATTAGTCAGGTCGTACATAGTTTGTTTAGTACCTTCTGATCGTAGTTTAAGGTTTTGCTATGAGGACTTTACTTTTATCTAAATATATTATTTTATGTACAGGACGCCGGTTATAAAAATATAATGAGGATACATAATTATGATAATTTAAAAATATGTGACTTGAAGATTTAAATTTGAAATATTTGTTCGATGATTGCTAATTATACTGGACGCTCTGCACATGCTTTTTATAGATTCTAAAGTGCAAGTGGATCTCATGTCAACGCATTATCATACTTATGCACTATTTGTCAGGTCGTATAAAGTTCATTCAGTCCTTGGTCCTGAGGACTGAGAGCAGTTTTGTTAGGACTCT